CCTGTCCGTTGCACCGGCTGGCAAATGCCCTTCATTCGTACTCCAAAGTGAAATAGGTCTCTCACCTGGCCAGCTCCATCCTCGCCGAGGGGCTGTCCTCCTTTCGGGGGACTACCTGGTACCCGCCTCCCGCTCGCCTGTCTTCACCTGCCTGTGAACGCCTGCAGAAGCGAGCCGCTTATGTGTGTGGGTGGGTGGTTCAGGGTGGGGAGAAGACCCTAACATAGGGGTCCAGGGAGGTATCTGAGGGTCCTCCCACCCTCCGGTTCCTGCGAGCTCAGCGCTAGTGGGTCACCTGTCCGGGTCAGTTGTGCCGGGGTCCAGCCCAGTGGGCCCACTCTCAGAGGAAGCAGGAGGCTGGGCCAGGCCTTACCTCCAGCCATTGGAGGAGAGCGGCCACCTCCTGGCCCGCGCGGCGGGTGTTGCGGACGGCGATGGCGTAGTGGTGGTGGGCCAGGGACATCCAGTTGGCCAGCCCCACGTTCACCGGCCGTGATGGCGTGGACTTCAGCGCCGCCACCATCTGCCAGATCCAGCCTTCCAGCTGGCCATCCACCTGAGGGGCCGGAGTGGGAGAGGACGAGGAGGGACAAGCAGAGGGAGGTATGGGGAGGCAGGGTAGATGGCTGGGCCCACTTGGCCTTCTAGGGGTTGGTAGATGGGGATTCAAGGCTGTTCTCCAAGTAGATGGCAGGGAAGGCTTTCCAAGTCATGAAACAGACACCGGCATTTCTAGAGGGTTCCAATTACTGTGAGCTAGACTCTGGGCTGGGATCCAGGGAGGCAACTTCCTCTGGAGAGGAGGCCTCACATGGTTTGACTTCACTCACGGCCCACCGTGTGCTCACTCTCCTTCTACCACAGTGTTAGCATTTTTAGCATCACTAAAAGCTGACACTTTCTCTGACACCTTTTCACCTAGGTATGGCCAATGAATGTAGCTGGGAGCATTTCACAGACATGCTGGGGGGTGGGGGGAGGGCTAAAAAAATCCTGCCTTAACCCAAAAGTCATTGAACTGTAGATTTTAAGTAGATAGATGGCATGCTGTGTGGATCATATCTAAATAAAGCCATTTTTAAAATACCTGACTTTTGGAATCCTTTATGTACATCCTCTACTACCATATACTGCCTGGAGTAAAGATGTGATAGCTTGTGCTCCAGCTGCCATCTTGGACTGTGAGGATGAGGGCCACACACTTTTTTTTTTTTTCTTAAGAGGTTTTCGCTATAGGGCGCGTGCACTCGCCAGACAGACAGAGAAAGACAGAGAGACAGAAAGCGAGAAATCACCCCCAGGGGGGATGGTCATGCCGCAATCCCTTCTCCTCCATTCTCCTCTCGGGATCTTGGGCACGCACGCACACGCGCCCGGCGTGAGTTCTAAGCCACCGGGTCCGGGACGCGAACCGCGGTCGACTATGTGGGAATCCAGCGACATAGCCATTACGCTAACTGCTGGTTCCTGAGGGCCACACTCTTAACATGGCAAAATGGTGAGCTCAAAGGAGCTGGGACCTTGAGGACTTGGTTGCCCAAAGCTGTCTAGCTAATTTTAGATTACGTGTCTCTGGGTAAAATGGAAATAAATTTTTTAAAAAAATTCATGATATAGCACATGCTTGAGAGAGAGAGAGAGAGAGAGAGATACAAGTGTGCTCCAGAAGGTTTGGCCATGCCAATCTCCTTCCTCCAGTCTGGCCCTTTAGTAGGGTGGATCTTGGATATGTCTGCAAGTGCCTGGAGTGTTTAGGGCTGACCAGGCTCGGGACTCAAACTGTGGCTGCAACATAGAACCTGGCTCCTCTTGAGCAGTGCATTACCGCTGCACCACGGAGTGAGCTCCAAACTTCTGTTTTATTTGGACACTGCTAATTTAGGCATCTGCTATTTGCAGCTCAATTTAACCCTTACTGATACAGCATGTCCTGGGAATTGTCTCCTGGCTTCCTACTTCCTCTTGTGAAATATGCAGATTCATGGGGAAGATTTCCTCCTGTGTGGTCACCAAGCCCTCATGAGCCCTGATGAGCTAGGGGACCCCTTTGAGCCACATTCTATCTGAAACCTGAAGATAATTGTATTTTCCCTTCCCTGCCTACTCCTGGAATTGAGATCATCAATGAGATAATGTGTGGGGGAGCACTTGGAAAATTAGCATGGGCTTTGTAAACATTATGCATGAAGCTGTTATCATCAGCTTCCTATCTTTTTATTAAAGTTGAACACACGGGAAGGAAATACGAAAGCAGAGGAAAAAAAGAGACTTGTCAGCATTTCCTACCGACCACCCGTGGATTATCATCACCAAAGGCAGGGAGGAGTTGAAGCCACACTCCTGTAACGTGTCCACGTGGTTGAGCTGGATCCGACAGCCCTTATCTGTCTCATCTCCAAAGAGCAAGAATCTGGTCTCTGTTTTCTGCAGTGTTTTCTTTGTTTCAACAGCTGGAGATGGCTTTCCAAATGGTTCTGGAATATGAGATTGGGGACAGTGCTTAGCCTGGCAACTGTTCCACCTCTGCCAGCCCTGGGACTGCTCAAAGGCTGTTAAGGATACAAGCAAAAGAGGTTACTGTGAGATTGTGGGGTATACTATGAGCTGCAACTTTGGGGAACCCCACAGATCGTTTCCAAGGATTGACCAGATGATGAATGGTGACCTGAGAGGACCCAACCCAAAGGTCAAGTGGCTAGATCCTCCATCCCGCCAGCCTACCATCCCAGTCGCCAGCTATCAGACATTAGAATAACTCCAGGGCGGGACTAGCAGTTGGCGTAATGGTTATGTCGCTGGATTCCCATGTAGTTGACTGTGGTTCACGTCCCGGACCCAGTGGCTTAAACTCACGCCAGGCGTGTGTGCGTGCGTGCCCAAGATCCTGAGAGGAGAATGGAGGAGAAGGGACTTTGGCGTGGCCATCTCCCCTGGGGGTGATTTCTCGCTTTCTGTGTCTGGTGAGTGCATGCGCCCTATAGCAAAAAACCTCTCCAAAATAATAATAATAATAATAAAAATAACTCTTGGGCATGAGAAATGCAGGTCTTGCTCTCTGAATTGAGACCAAGGCTCAGAGGGGATAAATTCATCCACTGCCAGTAAGTGGTAGAATCAGGACTTGAACCCAGGCCTCTGTATCTCCAAGTCCCACCCCTTTATCTCTTTCCTTGGGATATAGTGAGTAGAACATCTCAGATGATCACATGCATGATCTCACGTGACTCAGTTTGTTCTCACTGCAGACACGCTGTATCACATAAGCCGTGTATGGACAAGGTGCCAGGGGTGGGAGGATCACCACAGAGTGATACTGCACTTGATGAAGGGATCATGGCCTTGAGGGATGATGGAGACATGTGTTGGGGGAAGAAGAAGGGGAGATAAGGTTTTCCAAACTGGGGGAACATGAATAAAGATTCAGAGGAAGGAAATCTTATGCACTTAAAGGAGGCAGGACAAGGCTAGGCAGGCCAGAGAGCATGGAGGGCTCTCAAACATTAAAGGTTCTGGGCTTTATGCTCTTGGGCAGAGTTCCCCAACCTCTGGGCTATGGACTGATAATTGTCAATGGCTTGTTAGAAACTGGGCCACACAACAGGGGGTGAGAGGCAGGCAGTGAGCGAAGCTTCATCTGTATTTACAGTCGCTCCCCATTGTTTGCATTACTGCCTGAGCTCCACTTCCTGTCAGGTGGGTGGGGCATTAGATTCTCATAGGCGCCCGAACCCTACTGTGAACTGTGTATGTGAGGGATCTAGGTTGTGCACTCTCATAACTGCCCCCTCATCCCTCTCCTGGAAGAATTGTCTTCCATGAAACCAGTCCCTGGTGCCAAAAGTGTTGGGGACTGCTGCTCTGGGAGACAGGCTGCTACTAAAAAAAAGGATAGATGACTACCATTCGGAGTTCTTCAGAGACTATGGGGGTGGGAGAAGGAGAGATTATTTTTAAGATTTCCCCTTTGGAGGACCAGCAATAACATGGTGGTTGAGGCACTGGACACCCACTTGGCCAGCCGCAGTTTGAGTCACAGACCTGGTAGCTTGCTTTTTTTCTCACTTTCTCTCTCTCTCTTGTGAGCACATGTGTCCTATAGCAAATTAAAAAATAATAACAATAGGGACCGGCAGGTGGCATGGTGGTTAAAGGTGCTAGATTCCCACATGGCCGACCGCAGTTTGAGTCCTGGACCTGGCGGCTTGTTTTCTCACTTTCTCTCTATCTCTCTCTCTCTCTGTCAAATTGAAATAAACAAGTGAATAAATAAATGAATAAAGTTAAATGAAAAATTAAAAATAAAAACAATAAATAAAATGAAATAAATAGTTTTTTTTTTTTTTAAGAGAGATTTTTCTATAGGGCACGTGTGCTCACTGGAGAGACAGAGACAGAAAGCGAGAACCCCCACTCTCACGGGAGGATGGCCACACCACAATCCCTTCTCCATTCTCCTCTTGGGATCTCAGGCATGCAGACGTTCATGCCTAGCATGAATTTTAAGGCCCTGGATCTGGGACTCAAATCGCAGTCAAATTACAAGGGAGTCCCACAACATAACTATTATTCCATCTGCTGGGCCCCCCCAAATAATTTTTTTTTAAACAAAAAGATTTCCCCTTTGATCATTTTGATGAAGGGCTCACAGCTTCTTTATTGGGAGCGCCTCACTCTGACCACTGTTTTGGAGTGGGGTGGGTAGCCATCCCAACTCTGTAAGGTGGCCCCACAGCTGTCAAGGCCAGGGTATTGGCCTGAAGCCAGATACCTCTGCTTATAGGCTGGATGAAGCCTTTGGAGGTGCCGTAGCTCAGGTCAAGATGGGTGTCATCTTTTCTGCCAGGATTTAGGATCAGGCCAAGAGCTGAGGGAGGAAGCTCTCATCCCTTCTGGGCTCCCCTGTGGCAGAGGGGCAGATACAAGGCCACATTGACAATTTTGGCTAGTAAGTTCAATTCTGCCCAGCTATTAAGGATCCGTATTCTTTCTAAACATAAGATTATTCAGTCTTCTCCAAAAATAAGTCTTGGGCTTTTGGTTTCAGGGGACAGCAGGACCAAGAGATGATAAACCTACAAAGTACAAGGGAAGGAATCAGTGGAACCAATTTTCCTGCCCAAAGGTTATGAATTCAAAAGGTTATTAATTCCCAGCAAAGGGCAGTGCTTTTTCACTATGCTGACAGAATGAAATGCTTCATATTTTATTAAAAGGAGATGTGAGCGCGAATCTGATGAACTTCTCCGAGATAATGAAGACAATTTCTGCTGCCTAGCTGGCTTTCCCAAGCTCATAGCCTGAGCTTGTCCTGGCACCCCACAGGCCTGCTCCCAGAGCCCAGGCTCCTCATTTCATTGGGTACACAGGCCGCCTGGCTGTCCCAGTCAGAAGCTGGGGTGTCGCCTTCTACTTTATGCCAGCATCCCCACCAGTCCAAAGTGTCAGGGTTTCAAAACACCCTAGAATCCAGTGGCTTTGTTCATGCGCATGCTGTGTTTTGCTTGGTTTATTGCAGCAGCCTCCTCACTGGTCTCTCTCTCCCTGTCTGGCCTTTCCACCCTCTCTCAGCTGCCCGGGAATCTCTCTATAACGGAAATGACTCTACCCTTTGGTGACTTCCTGCTTCTTGGTAGGGCCGCCACAGCCATGACCTGAACAACAGTCCTTTATCCCCAACTCCTCCCCTCTCTCTCTCCTCCTGCTGCCAGTAGTTGGCACCTCTGTCCCTTTGTGCCCTGGCATCCCCCTCTTCTCTGCTGCTCCACTGGGAACTCCAGTTCTTACATTAAAACAGAGCAGAGACATCACATTCTCCAGGAAGTCTTCTCATCCAGCCAAAAAGCATTACTCCCTCCTGCAATTGGCCCTGCACCCCGATCCTAATGCAGCCTGGAAATTTATTGGTGTGTTTCCAGGTTGTGAACTCATGGAGGGCAGTGCTGGGCATGCAGTCGGAGCTCAATAAATGCTTAGTGAGTGACATGCTTTCTGTGGGACCCAGGTCTCAGATCAAAGGCTGCTTGTCAGTCTGTCAGCTGTTTTTACACCAGACCCAACATAGCTCATGTTCTTGTTTGCTGATGGACAGTTATGCCTGCCTTCGTTCCAAGATAGCTGCCTCGACTGCTACGAGCGCCACGGGAAATAAAATGGCCATAAAAATAGTACGCATCTCATGAGGTTCTTATGATGATTAAATAAGATACAGTATTTGTAACGAGCTTAGAACAATGCCTGGCAAGTAATTAGCACCTATGTAAGCGTGTGTTGTTAAAATAAGGACAGATTGCAGCATCTTGCATTTTTGATCTGTGAAATCCTTTCTTTTTATAAAAATTGACCCCGGTTGCCCTCACAGGACCAATTCTGTCTCATGTATATTTCCTATGGATTTATTCAGGAGAAACTATAGGAAAAAGTTGCCAAATGGAAAGGCCCATGCACAACTGCACTGAACTGGGCTCTCCCTTCCTGGGGGCTTTGGTTTTCTTTAACATGTGTATGAGAGAGGGAGGTGTGTGTGTGTGTGTGTGTGTACTCATTCATTTATTCATTCACTTCTTCAGCAAAACACTTAGTAAGCATATCTTAGCCCTCTGGCCCTGACTAGGTACTAGTTGGAGGTCAACAGGACATGGTCTCTGTCTTTCAGGAGTCCCCAGTCTAAGCCTAGAGGTTGCAGGAGTTGGATCCCATACCAACTGTGGTTCAAACCCTGACCCTGGCAGCTTGGAAAATATGCTGCATGTATGCATGCATGCCTCGTATCTCAACAGGCTGGAGAATGGAGGAAAGAGATTGAGACATGATCATGTCCCATTGGGGACTCTTTCTCCCTCTCTCTGTATCTCTCTGGTGTGTGCACACACCCTCTGGTAATTAAAAAAAAAAAGAAAGAAAGAAAAGGAAGGGAGAAAAAGAAGAAATAAAGAGAAAGAAAGAAAAAGAAGCTGCTGCAAGTATGGCAGTGGAGGAATGCTTTAGGGGAGGTGCCAAGAGAAGATGAGGGATCACTTGACTCCAAAATAATGAAAGGTTCTTTTTCTTTTCTCTTTCTTCTTTTTCTTTCTTTCTTTTCTTTTTCCTTTTTTTTTTTTTTAAAGTTGTGCTTTTAAGGCATGTGTGCTTGCCTGAGAGAGACAGAGAGAGACAGACAGGGACTGTGAGAAATCATTCCCCAAGGGGTGGATGGCCATGTCACAGTCTTTTCTTCTCTGTTCTCCTTTGGGGATTTTGGGGATGCATGCACATGTGCCTTGTGAGATTTTTGATCTGCTGGGTCTGGCATTTGAACCATGCAGTTGGCCGTGTGGAATCCAGCTGTCTTTTTTTTAAAAGAGAGATTTTTGCTATGGTGCATGTGCTCTTGCCAGAGAGACAGAGAGAGACAGAGAGACGGAAAGTGAGAAATCACACTCCCCCGGGAGGGATGGCCATGCCACAGTCATGTCTCCTCCATTCTTGTCTTTGGATTTTGGGTATGTACACACACATGCCCAACATGAGTTTAAAACTACTGGGTCCAAGATTTGAACCATGGTTGACTACGTGGGAGTCCAGTGACATAACCATTACATCATCTGTTGGTCTCACTGTTTCAACCACCATATCACCTGACCCATGAATGAAAAATTCTTTAGGAGCTCCTATCTATCAGAAGTTATTGAAGAAAGTGGAGCTCTAGTCCCTACAAAATCAAGATTTAGTGGATGACATGAGAAATGAAGGGCTGTTGTGGAGAAGAGGAGCTAGAATTGTTTTTTACAACTCCAGGAGCTAGAGAATCAATGGGTGGGCATGACATGAAAGAAAAACTTTGACTAAGTAGTTCACAAAGGTTTATAATCGAAGAAATTGGGACTGAGAATGTAAGGGCAGTGAAAAAAAGCAAAGGCAGAAATGTTGATATTAATACCCTAAAATGCACACTGCGTGATCCTATAAGGATGTTAAAGATGAGTCATTTTGTTCTGAGCTTCCTACTGGCCAAATCAAAGAGAAAAACAGGAACACTTACAGGATTTGTGGAGTCCAGGTGCTCACTCTCACCTGTCCTGAAACTCGAGGTGGTCTCTCTATGTGTTGTAAAAGGAGCTCATGGGGGTAAGATGGACTGTTGTCTTGAACACCTTTCCTACAAACTATTCGTAGCGAGTTTGCTATGGCCGACTCTGAGAGTTCTGCAATCCTCAGTGGAAGCAGATGCCACAGTGCCACCTAGCATTTAAGTCACAGTGAGTCTCAAGAGACTTCACTACAATCGAGCAGCAGTCCCTGTGACTGAGAGAGGCAGGGCCACTTCAGGTCATGTTTGGGTGGAAGGAGTAGAGCCCCACGGCCCAAGTGTCTGAGCCTTTTTTGGGCGCAGAGTCTGATCGTGCCCTTCCTGGAACACTCAGAACACCTGGGCATCCTTGGCCAAGCCCATGACTCCAGGATCACTGTCGTGGCCACACCCACGCCTTTACTGAAATCTCATTACCAAGCCTTAGGCCTGGGTGCCACCAGCTTTCAGCTGTCCTTTCTACCTGGGTATCCTGTGGGCACTGTCAACTCAGAAAAGCCAAACCAAATTGATTCTCTCTCTTCCCGCCTCTCTCCATGTCCTGTAGTGGATCATACACCCATGCCGTTGTTCAGGCTAGAAGCTCAGAGCTTACGTCCTGGCCCTCTCTCCTGGTAGGTCATCAAGCACTGAGGACTCAGTCTCAGAATCATCTCCTCTGCTCCTGCCACTGGTCCAGGCTAGGACTTCATCCTGTTTCTCTTCTCTTCTTTTGGCTATAGTGCCTGAGCGCTCACCAGAGAGAGAGAGAGAGGCAAGAGAGAGAGAAAGTGAGAAGTCAGCTCCTGGGGGGATGGCCACACTGCAGTCTCTTCTCCCCCATTTTCCTCTTGCAGTTTTAGGTGTATACACACAACCAGCCTGGCGTGAATTTTAGGCTTCCAGGTTTGGGACTCCAACTGGACTCCAATCCCAGGTTGGCCATGTGGGAGTCCAACACCTTAAGCACTGCGCCACCTGCTGGCCCCCATTTTCTCATGTCTTTGGGAGAGAGAAAGATAGATCAATGAGATCAATCTGGCCATGATACTGTGGTTTTAAGAGGGAGAATATTAACTAAGGTCAGCGGTGAAATCCTTCAAGGGACTCAGCCCTGTATCCTGGAGGAAGAGTTGACGGGTTGAGGGGACCTGGGGTTGCCCTCTGTGTGATAGCAAGATTCTGGGGCAACAAAGCTAGCCTCGCGATTAGTCAAAAGGACAAACTGGGTTCAGCTGTTGCTTTTCTATTATTAGATTTTTGGTAGCAAGTGATTTCTCTATTCCTAAATCAGCCTCCGGGTTTGAGGGTTCCTAATATTTCACACACAAACCAATTATTTTGTTTTCTTTTGGATGAGGACATCATTAGGGGGTGGCCAGAGGCGAATGAGTTGGGCCCCTGGCATAGTGGAGAACGAAGGGTTCTGTAGTAGAAGACTGGTTGGAGTCAGCATCTGGTTGGAGTCAGCATCTGCCTTCTACTCAGGTAGCTGCTTCTGCTCAGCTTAGTGTGTGTCAAGCACGTCTCATGCGCTGGCTAGTGCTCAGGACACAAATGCAAAGGAAGAAACCCTCAGGGGTCAATATACATGGCCCGCAAGGAGTTGTTTGTAAACCGCCTTTGCATTCACTATTTAATTTGCTAAGGGGTGAGCATGTGTGTGCACCTGTGTGTTTTGTAAACATGCAGAGCTGAAAACATTACCAGACTTGGCAGGGGTCCTCTGGAAGACCACAACTTCATGACTTTCCTGGAAACCCTGCCGGCCATGTCTTCTGCTCAGGATGGAAGAATCCTATAAGATAAAAGTAGCGGCAGCTCTGTCCCTAGCTGCTGTGGGCACGTCAGTGACTTGCCGAAGAACCATGTTGACTGCAGAATTTTTGGACTATGGCAGTGTGGGAACATTTGTGGGAGAATTTCATTGTCATCGCTGGACCTTTACAGATTCAGGTTATAGCTGTCACTGCACTTTGGTGATAAGTAGATTCTGCCCAAAGCCATGGTGAGAAATGCCTCTCCTATTCCTGCCATCTTAAATTTTGACCTGGGGACCAGCAGTTGGCATAATGGCTATGTCGCTGGACTCCCACGTAGTCGACCGCGATTTGAGTCCTGGACCCAGTGGCTTAAACTCATACCAGGCGCATGTGTGTGCGTGCCCAAGATCCCAAAAGGAGAATGGAGGAGAAAGGATTGCGGTGTGGCCATCCCCCCGGAGGGTGATTTCTCACTTTCTGTCTCTCTGTCTCTCTCTGTCTTTCTGGTGAGCGCATGAGCCCTATAGCAAAAACCTCTCCAAGGAAAAAAAAAAAATTGCCCTGACTCGGATATCTCACCCTCCCTTTTACTTATCATCTTTAAAATATCTCCTGGGACCTGGGACCAGCAGTTAGTGTAATGGCTATGTTGCTGGACTCCCACGTAGTCGACTGTGGTTCACGTCCCGGACCTGGTGGCTTAAAACTCACACCGGGCGCATGTGCGTGCATGCCCAAGATCCCGAGAGGAGAATGGAGGAGAAGGGATTGCGGTGTGGCCATCCCCCCGGAGGGTGATTTCTCACTTTCTGTCTCTCTGTCTCTCTCTGTCTGGTAAGCGCATGTACCCTATAGCAAAAATCTCTCAAAAAATAAATAAAAAATTTCTCTGCCTCAATTTCTTAATTTGGACAATAGAATTACTTATCTTTGTAATGGCCCCCACCTCCTGTGACACTCCAACATCTTTTCATTGTAATATTGAACAATTACCCAGGGCATGAATCACTTCTCTTTTTAAAGTTCTTTTTATTTTAATTTACATTTAATAACATTTGTCTTTTTATTTTATTTTTTTTTTACATTTATTCACTCTACATCCTTATGGCATACAAAATGAATTTTGCCACCTTGAATACACTGCGGATCAGTTTAGTCAAAGACATTATCATCCACATTATCACCAGCAGAAAATATTCCATTTTTTGTGTCTGTTAAATGTTTTACTTTTTCCCTCCCCTTGATTTCTTCCCCACCCCATTATCCACCCTTCTCCTGCTCTATCTTTAGTTTGCTATTATCTTACATCGTTTTTCAAGAAAAACAATTTTAGCTTTAATGAATCAAAGTAAAAAAAAAAGTAAGAACAATTTGCTTAAGACTTAAGGTTAGGATTCTGTTCAAACAGTAGGTAGACACTAAAAACTTGATTTAGCTGGCTTTGCTGGGACCTTTTATAGGGGACTTCAGATTAGATTCTTTAAAAAACCTCCCAAGGCTACTGAGCCAAGTCAGGAATTCACCATCTGACTGCTACCCATACTTGGAAGGCATGAATCACTTCTAAGGAGGGAGAGAGGTGCTCTATAAAGTTGTGGTAACTTTCCGGTCATTATGTTATTATTTGGAACTCAGCAGAAATTCCTAAATTTGTCTTGAGTGGATTTAAAGCTACTGAAATCCTTTTTTACCTGTGGTGGTGATCATCTTTCTACCATCGTTTTAAAATTTTATTTTTGCTGCAGGGCTCACCAGTGAGACGGAGAGGGGTAGATGGAGGGAAAGTGAGAAATCGCCCCCAAGGGGGGATGGCCACTCTGCAGTCGCTTCTCCTCCAGTCCGCCTCTTGGGATTTTGGGCACGCGTGCACAGGCGTGTGTTTCAGGCCGTCGGATCTGGGACTCAAAACATGGTTGGCTATATGGGATCCAGTGTCTTCACCACCATGCCACCTGCTCGCCCCTTCCTATCATCATTTGCCTTCTTGTTTTACTGGTTCTTTTTTGTTTTGTTTTGTTTCTTTGGCTCTTAACCATTTTGGTGTCAAATAAGAAAATGAGATATGGAATGGCAGGAAAGTTATTTCACAAAGTTGATTTATTCTGTTTTCTTAGTTCACTTGGCTTGATTTTCTTAGTCATTCTATAGCCTGAGGCTCCAATTTCTCCTTTTGTGGATTCTAGGGAAGGAAGTAACTAGAGCCTATGTTTTCTGGCTGGAAAGTTTTTATTTTTTCTCTCCAAAAAAAAAAAAAATCTTTTCTTTCAAACTGCACTCTCTTGAAATTCTGATTAGAATCAGAATGATTTTATTTTTCTTGCAAGAAATCTGGTTATGAAAGAGCATGCCATTCAGAAAAGCTATTCATTTGTACTGAAATTCTCTGAGGGTAAGGGGATTTCCTTCCCACAAGTGGTTCCAAGGTCATGGGTGCACTCCACCCTGACTCGGGTCAAGGGTCAAGGTAGGGTGGCCGACTGTCATGATATGCCTTGGGCTGATGGGTTTCCTGAGACACTGGACTCCTGATGCTAAAACAGGAAAGTCCCAGGCGAGCTAGGCTCATTGTGCTCCTATAGTTCAAGGGCAACTGAGTGAGTAAGTGGAGAGATAGAAATTGCTTACCTACTGGGACCAGCAGTTAGTGTAGTGGCTATGTCACTGGACTCTCATGTAGTCGATTGTGGTTTTAGCCCAGGACTTGGCGGCTTAAACTCACGCTGGGTGTGTGTGCATGTGTGCCCAAGATCCTGAGAGGAGAATGGAGGAGAAGGGATTGAGGTGTGACCATCCCCTCTGGGGGGTGATTTCTCATTTTCTATCTCTCTGTCTTTCTGGTGAGCGCATGCGCCCTATAGCAAAAACCTCTCCAAACAAAAAAAAAAAAAAAAAAAAAAAAAAGAAATTACTCTCCTACACCTCTCCAAACAAACAAACAAAAAAAGAAATTGCTCTCCTATTGATGATCATCCTGATAGTTTTCATCCAACACACCTTCCTGCCCTGCTCTTTGTCATGTGGTCTCTTTGACCTGAGATGCTCTGTTGTTGCCCCTGTTTAATGTCACATTTTCTCCAGTCCTAAACTCTTATTTCTTCAGGCAAAATTTCTCCAAGTTTCCTGACTTGGTTACATTTCTCTATTATTCATTCTCTTAGGTGCTTTCACTGTTCCAATTTTATTTCTGAATAGTCAGGACAGAAACATCAACACCCTATTAGGTGGTTAGCTCCATGAAAGTAGGATCTCCATTTGTTTTCTCATATTGAAACCTTCCTTCGTAAAACGTGGAGCTGCAAAGCATAGCAGGTAGACGCCCAGGCTCAGAGCCTTGCTGCTTGGGTTTGAAGCCCACTTCCAACACTGTGTGTATGGCCTTGGGCAATACTGAATGTCTGTGTGCCTGGATTTTCTCATCACATCATCTGTAAAATGTAGATAATACCTACTTGTCATAGTCTGTTTTATGCTGCTATTGCTGAAAGCATGGATTGGGGAGTTTCTAAAGAACAGAAGTGAATTTCCTGACAGTTCTGGAGGCTGAGAAGTCCTAGATTGAGGGGATGGCATCTGGCAAGGGCCTTCTTGATTGTCATCCCATGGTAGAAGGAGGGAGGTCAGAGAGGGTGAGAGTGAGAGAGAGTGAGAGGGAGAAGTCAAGTGTAAGGGATTTATTTCCATGCTAACAAGCCCACTCTGGAGATAATGACATAATTCATTCATAAGAGCAGAGCTCTCAGCCTAATCACCTCTTAAAGTTTCCACTTTTTAATTTTTTTTAAAGTTTGTATATATATTTCTTCTTCTGAGAGAGAGAGAGAGAGAGAGAGAGAGAGAAGAAAGAGAGAGAAGGAGAAAGAGAGAGAGAGAAGGAGAAAGAGAGAGCAACATCACCCTCAACAGGGTCCTGATTCTGTGATCCACCTCCAGCCCTCAACCAGCCCTGGATAATGGATAAGTGTGTACTGGCGTACTCAGGGAGGTCTCCAGTCTTGAACTGGGAACCTTCCCAAGTGGGATTGCCTCACAGAGTGTCATGTTTTACCATTGCCATTGTCTCCTCTCCTCTTTTTTTTTTCTGGAGAGATTTTTGCTATAGGCTGCGTACGCATGCCAGACAGACAGAGAGAGACAGAGGGACAGAAAGTGAGAAATCACCCCCCAGGGGGGATGGTCACGCCGCAATCCCTTCTCCTCCATTCTCCTCTTGGGATCTTGGGCACGCACACACACGCGCCCGGCGTGAATTTTAAGTCACCGGGTCCAGGACGTGAACCGCGGTCAACTACGTGGGAGTCCAGCGACATAGCCATTATGCTAACTACTGGTCCCTCCTCTCCTCTTTTTATCATAAACAGAGAGTTCAGGTGCATACTTGTACGTGAGAGAGAGAAAGAGAAAGAGAAACATTCCCAGTGGGGTCTGTGACCCCCCCTCCCTTTCCCAGCCCTCCACTTCCTCTGGATCCTTGGCATTCACATGGACACTCAGTGTGTTTTCAGGCTGACCCTGGAAATGCCCAGGCATCTGAATCCACAGTTAGGCCATGTGGCTTCCGGCCTTGCAGGACACTGTATTTCTTTCTCTCTCTCTCTCTCTCTCCCTCCCTCCCTCCCTCCCTCCCTTCCTTCCTTCCTTCCTTTCCTTCCTTCCCTTCTTCTTCTTCTTTTAGAATTATTTTATTAATCCTATTCATTGTCATTATTTTATTATTTTATTTTTTTGAAGTTGACCAGAGAGAGACTGAGAGAGAAGGAAAGTGAGAATCCAAGCTGCCAGGTTTGGGACTCAAACCACGTTAGCCATATGTGAGTCCAGCCACCATGCCACATGCCTGCCCTGCAGGATACTGTATTTCTGCCATACCTCAGCAGCTGGGCCCCCACTTAATGCTGTTACAGTGGCAATTAATTTAATGTGGGTTTTGGAGGGGACATTTAAACCCTAGCACTACTGTATAGAATGGTTATGAAAAGTTGTTAGGTTAACTATGGAAAATACTGTAACAGTAGCAGGCATGTAGTTTGTGCCACAC